CTTGAATATTTAGTTTTAGCATTGGGCGAGAATCTAAATTTAAAGACAACATAGCCCAATCTACACCTGTGGAGCCTAATCCCCTGGAACCTCTTTCTACACTATGACTAGGAAATTTATTATGTAGGCTGGGTATTATTAACAACTGTGCTATTCTATCTCCAGGTGAAATTACTGATATACCTCTTGGAGAATTAGCTATAATTTTTATTTCACCTACATAATCGGGATCAATTACCCCAGGACTTATCATAAGTCCTTTTAATGTAGATGAACTACGTCCCAATAATAAGCCTACTGTTCCTTGGGGAAGAGGTCCTTTTACTCCTGTGGGAATGATTTGAACTCCCATCTCTGGAGTTAATACTGCTCTGGCAGAGGCGCAGATGTCCAACCCTGCGCTCCCTCGGGTTTGTCTGATGAGGGATTTAATGGACAATGTGTCCTGGGCACTAGCCTGATGGTGTTGTTGGGTTCCTCCACTGCCCCGTAGATTTGTGGTTGTGGGCCCCAGGGCATTGGGCCCCCCTGTCCGTTTTTTGGCAATGGAGCCCGATGCCTTTCTCCATGATATCGTGGATAAATACCTGGTCTTTGTCCGTTTTTTGATAAAGGAGTACCCTCTATGGTGGTTTGAGAACGGCATTCATTAGCCCAATGTCTCCCTCTACGGCATCGTGGGCAAATACCCGGTATTCTATTCCTTTGATACCTACTTTTGTTAAACCCTCCTCCTATGGGGCAATTCCTTTTAAAATGTCCTGTTTGTTCACAATCATAGCATGTTTTTGGCCTGGCATCTAAAGCCTGTTGTACTGCAGCTGCCAAGACTTGCCCTTGTTCATTAATATCTCTACATAATTTAATATATGTGTTTAAATCTTCATGTCTCCATGGTCTAATAACCTCTCTGCAGCAACGATTTGCTTGGTCATAAGCCAGTTGTTTTATTAATGGCATTGCTTGTTCTGTATCCCCAAAAATTTTGGCAGCCATTTGAATTAGCCTATCTACAAAGTCAGCGTAAGGTTCATTAGCTCTCTGTATTACCTTAGATAGCTGACCTTGTAAATTTCCATGTCCTTGTAAAGTCTTCCATGCCCTAACTGCGTCTGCAGCAATTTGTGCATATATAGCAGGATCATATTCAATTTGTTGCCGTTGACCCTCATAAGGTCCTTTTCCTAACAACATATCTAGATTTCTTTGAGGGTAACCGGCTGCTGCATTTCGCCTAGCTGTCTCCGTGCAAAATTCCTCATTGGCAACCTTCCATAACAAATATTGTCCTCCATTTAGTACAGATTTACACATGCTAGCCCAGTCTGCTGGCGTCATGTCCAAGTTAGTAATGGACTCGACCATGCTTACCGTGAAGGGAGCTTGGGGACCATAGGTTGTTACAGTCTCCTTTAACTGATTCACTGTTTTAAAATCTAAAGCACGGTGAATTCGCTGCCCTCCTGCCTGTTCAAGTACAGGGCATGCTAATCTTTGAGGTCCTGTCTCAGGATCCCATTTATCAACTATGGGGTTTGAGGGCCACTCAGCTGTCTCCATCGGTGGGGCTGTTGGTTGAATTACGCCCTCTTGTGATAAAACGGAGTTAGTAACAGCCTCCTGTTGTGGCATTTTTCCTAACAACCCCTTTTCCTTTAAATTTTCTTCCTCTGTCTGACTAGCTTGAGAGACCTTCTCTTTTGTTTGATCTAAAATGTCTTTCTCCATGGTCTGAACCTCTAACAATTTACTTAACATCTTTTCGGTTTGTTTTTTACTAATTTCTAATCTACTATAAAGATAACGCAACCCAATAAGATAGCACAAAACAAAGCCGAAACTGAATGAAACAAAAACGGAATAAAAAATCGTTGTATCAATTTTCTCTTCCTCAGGGCCGACAAACTTCAAACCTTTAGTCAACCATTTTTTCCAGTTTGCCTGAGAAATTTCTAGGGATAGTCAGCTTGAAACAAAAACAAGATAAATCAAAACAATAACACATTGTTTTTTGAGTTGGTCACCCATTCTTTCGCTCTTCCTCAGGGGCGAGCAATTTCACTTACCTCCAAGCTTCAGAAGTTCCCCTTAGGAGCCACCAAATGCCACAGTCTGGCTGGGCACAAATGCCGCAGTCTGGCTGGGCACACAATCATGAGCCACCACACAGCTTGTAGATTCAAACAGCAACTCTTTATTCCCGAACTCACACCAGCCGTCTACCAACACGTTCTGGGGAAATCCACATTCTCTGCCCAAATCCACCTCCACTGGGCTTCTATCTCCAAAATATACTGTCTGAATCCCGTGAGAACTCAAGGGGAACTCAGGCAGCAGGATATGCCCTATTCCCAGCAGGAATAATCTTAAACCTTAAACCTGGAACCTAAACCGGGAAAGCCCTAATCCGCCTTGGTCCTTGAACAAGGTCACCTACATTCAATGTCACTGCAACATGGGGTATGCTGGCAAGGAAATTGTCATACCTACTTGGCTAATGGCTCCCAGCATCTTCCTCTCTCCCTGCTCCTCCCTAATCTCTCCCTGTTCCTCCCTAATCTCAGAGGAGACAGGATCACCTTTCTGGCCCATCCTAGGCAGAGGTATCTGTCCCTGAGCACACACCCACTATAGGAAAGAAGTCCTCCAGACTTTGGGGATGGCACCAGAATGTCTCAGAAAGGACCATCTCTCAAATTAACTCCAACAGGGGCCGGGGATGTGGCTCAAGCGGTAGCGCGCTCGCCTGGCATGCGTGCGTCCAGGGTTCGATCCTCAGCACCACATACAGACAAAGATGTTGTGTCCGCCAAATACTAAAAAATAAATATTAAAAAAAAATTCTCTCTCCCTCTTTCTCACTCTCTCTCACTCTTTCTTTAAAAAAAAAAAAAAAAAAATTAACTCCAACAGAGAGCACGGGGAATGCAGCCTTTGAGTCACCTCTTTAACAGCCCCCAGTTCCTGCTGATGGACAGGATCACAGCCTCTGGGACAGGAGTGCCCTGTGTCTCCTTTGCTAGTGAAGCTAGATTTAACGTTAGGTAGTCAGTGTAGTTAGGTAAATTGGGTCTAATATCGAGTAAGATCTAAAATGGAGGCCATGTTGAATGAATTCCGGGAAAAGCAGGACAACTCATGGAATGTTAATGAAGTCCCGAAAAAGCCCTAGGCCCAAAGTCCATCCCAAAGGAATGTTAATGGAGCCCAAAAAACAGCCCCCAACAGATTTGGAGATAGCCCATCCCAAAGAAGTGTTAATGAAGTCCTCCCTGCCCAGATTACTTCTTTGGCCCACCTGTGTCCCACCCCTCTGACCTTCCAACCTACATTCCATCACTGAAAGAACTATACAAAGGGGAAACAACTGCACTTCCACGGATTCCACCTCTTGGGTCCCCTTCTTCCTCCAGGAGAAGTCTTTTCTGCTGTCCTTTAATAAACTTCTAATTTCTACTCTGACCTTGCCTCGGCCGTGCTTCTCTGGTGTTATTCTTCAACATTGGGGAAGCAAGGACTGTCACTGGTCAACAGTGGTAACACTATCAAAGCAATAACCTTTTTTGTCAAATTCGAGTCCTCATTACTGGACTGGCATAGGGGACAGGGACGGGTCTTTCGGAAACACCACTACACAGAAGCTCATCCCCACCTCACACTGTTAAGCCCAGGCGGTTTAAATGCAGGAAAGTAAAAGCTAAAGTACAAAAGTCGTAGAAGAAAATATGGAAAATGGCTTTTAATCTTGGTGTTTGGATGTCCCTCATAAACAAGACACCTTAGCCAGAGGCCATTAAATGAGAAAAATTAAGAGACATAGTTGCCAAAGTATTTAGAATTTGTATGAAGAAGAAGACTTTATTGTGAAATCTTTAAAACAGAAATTTAAAAATAAGCATTGCTTGCATACTTAGAACAGCTCAATTGTTGAGAGCCACAGTTTAGGAATGACGCCTGGCATTTTGCTAGAGGGAATGGTTGAAAGGTGACCCTGCTCTGGGATTAGGGAGGCTCCGGGATTAGGGTGGATCCACCAGGAATAGGGTGGCTCAGGATTAGGGCAGATCCTGCTAGGATTAGGGCAGATTCTGCTGCCTTGGGCGCTCACTACTTTGGAGTTCCCCTTGAGTTCTCCCGGGGAATTGGCGCGCGGAGCCCCGTGGAGGGAGTGTGTTCCCGGGAAGTGTGTGTAGAGTGCCGGTGAGAGTTCAGGAATAAAGACTTGCTGTTTGAACCTACAAGGCTTTGTGGCGGCTCGGTTATTTGTGCCCAGCCAGACTGCGGCACTCAATAAAGATACATGGTACATGGTAACCAGAGTCTCTGGGGGCCAGGACTGAGTGAGCCGGGACAGAGGTGGGAGCTAGATTAACTTTTCAAAGTGTTATTTCTTTCCGTTTTGAATACTGCGTCCTATGAAACACAAATGTTTTCAAGTCAAACAGACTGAGAAAATCATGGCATCACCTAGTGCCCCAGTACCACTCTCAAGGTACCACTCTTAGATCCAAGTGGCTTCATTGCTCTGAGAAGCTGGGCGGCCCAGGGTCTGGTGCGCCCAGTGACTTGATGTTCGTCTCTGCCTATAGGGGGCGCCAGAGGGCCGACGGGGGTGGGAGCTGGGAGGACCAGCTTTGCTGCCCAGGTTGGAGCAGATCTCTCTAGAGGAGTGTGGCCTCAACCTCCCACCTGTGCCCTCAACAAGTCTGTACTGTTGGGCTGAGGGCCCGGTTCTCTCTGCGGAGCCTGACTCCCAGTCATCAGGGAGATGCCCTCCTTCTCAGTCCTTCCTTGCTTATGGTGCCCAGCCCCACAGGTAGGGCTTAAAGCCATCAGTCCACTCCAGCTTCTGCACTGCCCTTGAGCTGAGGATGGGTTTTACACCTGGACCTCAACTAAGCAAAATTTTAAACCAGTCCTCATTGATTGAACAGCATTCCAAAACATGTACTCAATATTTTATTCTGGATCCCATCAATAAAAATGTTGTAGATGTGAGATCAGGACACAGGGCGACCAAGAGGAGGCAGATTTTATTTATTTTTTATTTGACATCCCACCCTTCCCCTCATTTTTTTTTTTTTTAGTTCTCGGCGGACACAACATCTTTGTTGGTATGTGGTGCTGAGGATCGAACCCAGGCCGCACGCATGCCAGGTGAGCGCACTACTGCTTGAGCCACATCCCCAGCCCAAGGAGGCAGATTTTAAAAGGCTGATGAACGAGCCTTTATTGAGACTCACCAGAGCGGAACTCAATCAGACTGATAGAGTGGACAGGAGAAGGGACTGAGGAGAAACTGCATGGGAACTCAACTGGACTGGGATTTTATGGGGCTTAGGAAGGAAGGGAAGGGCTTGGGACAGGAAAAGGGATTTTTAGGGTCCCTTGTCCTGCTGGAGTTGGTCAGGGGAGCTGGCTGAACTCCAGGATTGGCCAGGGGGTCCTGCTGATTGACAGGTGCTAGTCAGGAGATCCCGCTGATCGACAGGCTTTCTGTAGGCACCTGATTGATGTTCCTTTCCCTCGTGGGCTGCTTTGTTCTAAGTCTACCTGACAGTAGACGCTTGTTTTCTGTGTTGCTATAGGAACATGTATCCTTGATAGTGCCTCTTGTCCATAAAGCCCCAATGTCTGCCGCCCAGACCTTGGCAGGAAAAGCTTGCCACCCTGCCTCAGAGCCCTCTTGTGCTCTTTGTCCTGTGTGTGTGTGTGTGTGTGTGTGTGTGTTTGTGGGAGACCAACCTTGCATGTGACTGAGTTAACTCCCCTACTGGGCAGTGTGGCATCAGGCACCCATGCTGCTAGACTGCCCCGCTCTTCCAGGGTTGAGTGACTGTGTCTTCGTCCCTGGGTGTGTCTTACTACAGCCCCATGGGTGGAGCTATGCTCACCTATTCCTTTGTAATATAATCCCTTGCCCTGTTTAAGCTAGAATCTTCATGGAAGTGCCTTGTATATGTCCCCTTCTCTTACTGTGCCCTCGGGTGTGGCCTACCCAGATGTCAGTCAACCTGCTGACAGTGGACATCATGAAGATAGACTCAGCCCCCTGAAACCTGATCCCTTGCCTCATTTGAATAGCTTCTCCTCAATAAAAGGGGGTCAGCTCATGTGGGCTCTCTCTCTTTCTGTGGACCCTTAAGGTCAGAGGAGCCGTCATAGCGACCCCAAAGAAAAAGGTGTTTGTGTCTCTTGTGTGGTTATTTTGTGCAGCCCAGTCAGCCCAGTTCAACTGGAGTAATCCCTGAGCGTTTTAGTCAGAAAAGAAACCTGGCATTTGTTGGCACTGGGGATTGAACCCAGAGCTGCTCTACCACTGAGCTACACTCCCAGCCCTTCGTTATTTTTTATTTTGAGACAGTTCTTGCCAAGTTTCTGAGGCTGGCCTTGAAACTTGAGATCCTCCTATCTCAGTTTCCCAAGGAGCTTAGATTATAGGCATGTGCAATAGACTTTTGTACCCTTTTGGTAGCTAGCCATCTTTTATAGCTAACAATTCTTCATATTTAATTTTCTCTTCTTAAATTATTGGTGTGGTTTTGATCTCCTGATTTGGCTTTGACCAAGATAGTCCTACTAGACAAATAACTTCTACAAATCAATAAGAAAATGTAGACATTCACCTGTCATTTAACCATTGGTCTAGGTATAGAGATACAGCAGAGCAGGAAATAGAGACAAAGAGGAAGAAAGAGGAGAGAGGGAGGGAGCCGTTGATGTGTAACTGAGCTCCATCTGGGCTCATGTTGGGCAGGGCGGGCAGCTCACCTTGAGCTGAACGTACCACTCTTAGATCCAAGTGGCTTCATTGCTCTGAGAAGCTGGGCGGCCCAGGGTCTGGTTCGCCCGGTGGCTTGATGTTCGTCTCTGCCTATAGGGGGCGCCAGAGGGCCGACGGGGGTGGGAGCTGTCATTTAACCATTGGTCTAGGTATAGATCAATGCATTTGCAGAACTCCCGGCATCCCTACCCCCATCTGCTAAACGCCAGCAGCCCCCTCCACCCCAACACTGAGAAGACCAACACAGGTCTTCCATCATGAATTTACAAAATGCGCCCCCAGGGGCTCCTGCTCCTACCCATTATGCCTGACTGACCCTTCAGAGCTCCTGTGATTTTTAGATCACCATCTAATTTCCTTTGTCCCTGAGGAGAACCTAGCAAGATAGGCAAGGTGGTGTAGTCTTGTCCCCTTTTATTCAATGAGGACTCATGGCCTGGGGCCCAGAAGAGCCAGGGATGACTAGCCAAGGTCCTCTAAGATCCCATCAGTTTACAAATATTCATTCAGGTAATTTACAGACACATCAAACCACATGGGATGACACGGGAAGGTTGCTGCTGTCCAGTCTGTCCTCCCATCCAGTCTGTCCTCCTCGAGCCCTCAGACATAAAGTCTCCCTCCAGTGCTGGCCAACCTAGAATCCCCTGGAGCACTGCAGATCTCCTCTCTGACCTCAGTTTTTCTTTTCCTGGTTTTCAAATTAACAATCACTTCCTATTTATGGGAAGTGTTAGTTTCTAATAGATACATTTAATTCAGCTTTTATTATTTAAGCTTTGAAGAAACTTCTCTCTCAGAACACAGTTGTGGAAAACTGGGAAGGGGGGTGATGGCTGACAGCGGAAAGGAGCCTGAATAAGGCTTCTTGTGTCCAAGGCAGGCTGTGTCGGGGCTGGGGTGAAGACTGGGATAGGGAGCAATTCAGGGGGAAATCTGGGAAGGCTCTGTGCTCCGCTGAGTCTAGAGCAGGTGTGAACATGGAAAACGTTCCCTAGGTGCTTTCTAGGAGGGCCCAGGTCAGCCCTCCCAGAAGAGTAACAACTTGGTGCCCATTTTAGCTGGGCTCCCAACCATCTGCAGAGCTTCCCGTGAGTCCACATCAAGGCTGGAGCTGGCTGTCCCCATCAGACTGAGGACTGAGGGCTGGGTCAGGGCCAGAGGGGCTCAGGTGTTTGGAAAGGAAATTTCTGGAGCTTAGCTCATCCTCCCAGGAATTCAAAGAGCCCAGGACTGAGCCTTCCATCTCTGCCAGAAATCTGACCCAGGAGGAGAGGCTGGAAGGAGGAGGGAGAGACAGACAGGGAGGGGCTCAGGAGGAAGGAAGGCCTGGGTTCCAGCCCTCGCCGCCCGCATGCTTTGGACATGGCTTCCCACGGGTGGCTCAGGCTGTAGGAGCTGCTGACTATCTATTCCTTCCAGGTAGGGTAGAGCAGAACTGAATGTGTGGAACACTAAATAGCAAGACAAGCAAACTCTGCATGCAAACACACACACACATGCATCTTCCACACATAACCACACAGCCACACGTGTACCCACACACTCCAACCTAGAATCTCACCTGAGCCCCTGTTTCCTCACCAGGCTCATTTATTTGTTAAATAAAATTTACAAAGACCATTGTTTTGGATAAGGATCCTCCTGCAGGGGGTCCCCAACACCAGACTAATCAACAAAGGGGAGTCACCTGCGCTGAAGTTCCTTGTCATCAAACCCAAACTGAGCTGCTTCTCTGCCCTCCTAAAACCAGGAAAAGGAGTTTACTCTTCCAGGCAGGTTGGCTCAAGTTGAGGACCCTGTCTGCTCTACCTTCACCCCGGCAGCCTTACATCCTTAGGCAGAGCAACCCAAAATAGTCTGGTGTTAGCCACGTCCATTATTTTTCTATTATTCTTCCCCACTTCACAAGGAAAGTAACTTTGAAAGGCTCAATTTGCTTTTTCTGTTGTTTCTGCTGTCTTTGGCCTTTCTCTGTCAGTAAAACCACTTCTATTCTGTGTGTCCTCAACTTTATGGAAGTGAAAGGGTAAAGTTTCTAAGCTACAAAGCCTGAGTTAAAATGTAAAGGACCAGGCATTGTAAACCTGCTTCTAAACTGCAAAGCCTGGGTTAAATTTCTGAGGCAGTTAAGACAATGCCCTACTGGCCATTTAGTTGATTTATAGCCTAGGACCCTGTGTAGCTTGTCACGTAGGCATTCAAGGCCCAAACCAATCAGTTTGAATGTAACCCCCTCCTTAGGAATGACCTATCACTCCAGCCTGACCTGTTCCCGCCAATGAATGTACTAATCAAGTCTAGGAGTTGTTGTTTGATTTTCCCGCGGTGTGAGGTGATTTGTTAAAGGAGACTCTGATGTATGCAAAGCCCCCGCCCTCCCCAAAAAGTGTACTTAAGCATTGTTCAACCCCTGCTCTGGGCTCTGGGCTGCTCTCCCTTCCTGAGTGAGCCTGGAGCCTCAGCGCGCTGAATCGGATCCTCAATAAAAATCCCCTTCTGCTTATTGCATGAAGTCAGTCTCTTGGTGGTCTCTTCCTCTGACCTTTCGCCGGTCCCTTACAGAAGGAAGTATGGAGACATTCTAGAATAGAGCGGAAAATGAATTAAGATCTTTAAACTAAATCGTTGTCATTTCGTCCTTTGACAAGTAGCACAATTTCCCATTCTGTTTGTTTTTCTGTCCCACAGACTGCATGTTCCCTGTGCCAGAGTCCTGAGTGCTCAGCTCTTCAGTGTCCAAATGCCTGGAATGTTTGGGGCTGGAAAGCAGAGCTTGTGCTCAGTGACCACAGGTGGTGCGGTGACAGTCCAGTGTGTTACACACCGTCTGACCCCATCCTCAAAATGCCTGGAGGTCAGTGTGACTCCTGAGAGATCCGTGAGACCAGATCGGCAGCCTCTTGCCCAAGGTAGGGCAGCAGAAGTATGGAGCCAGGTTCAGATTTCTGTCTGGCAAAGGAGCAGGGCTCAAGGTCAAGATGAAGGAGGCGGAAGAGGGTTCCAATCTGCTCAAGCAGAGCTACACACATGTAGCTAAGTCTGCAACCCATAATGATTCCAGAAAAGGAGCTGATTTTAGACCCATTTCTCAGAGAACATTTTGAACTGTGTAAAATAATATAGACACATATGCACATGTGTATGTAGGTACCACTCCAGACAGACTCATAACCTCCCATCACTGAAGGACCTAAACCAAGCTTGACCCTCCACCCCAGCCCTCTCTACTGTCTATCAGTCACCGCGATCCTGCCCTACATTCCCTTCCTCCCACTCCTGCATTTGTGCACAAAGAAAAAGGGCCCAGCAGGATGGTCAACAGATTTATGCTGAAATAAATGTGCTAATTTAGATATAAAAATGATGGGTGGCCTGTGGGCAGCAGAACACTGAGATGAGCTTCTCTCCTGGATCAAAGCTCCTGCATCCCTACCAAAGGTCACTTGCAACTTTTTAACTTTCAGCCTGTTAGCAAAAGAGCAAAAAATAACCAGTCCTGATGAGGTTGCACAGAAAAAGAAGCCCTCAACACTGTTGGTGGGCATATAAATTAGTGCAAAGAGGATGTAGATTCCTCACAAAAATAAAAACAGAACTCCTGCTGGGCACATATCTGAGGAAATGAGGTCAGCATACAAAGAGACACCCACACACAATAACCCAGGTGCCCATGAACAGATGAATGGATAAAGGAAATATGGCCTAACAATGGAGCATTATTCAGTATGTAGAGAGGAACCAGGTCAGCGGGCCATGGTAGCTCATGCCTGTAAATTTAGGTCCTTAGGAGCCTGAGGCAGGAGGACCACAAGTTGGAGGCCAGCCTCACCAACTCAATAAGACTCGGTCACAAAATTAAATAATAATAATAATTAAAAGGGCTGGGTCTACAGTGCAGAGGTAGAGCACCCTGGGTTCAATACCCAGTACTGGAAAAAACAAAAAGAATGAAATCCTCTTATTTGCAGAAAATGGATGGAACTGAAAGACCTCCTGTTAAGCAAAATCAAGGAGACACAGAAAGACGACTGTTGCACATTTCCTCTCCTATGTGGAAACTGGGGGAAGCAGGGGAGGCCCTGAAAGTAGAAGAGGAGCTATTAGGATTTAGGAAGGCAGTCAGAGGGAGGAGGCAGGGCACGAGGGGCAGGAAGGTGGGCATGACCAAAGCTTGATCTGTGCCCTGGTGGAAGTGTCCTCGTGAAGCCCGTTATATGTGTTAATGATTAAGATAAATAAAAGTAACATTCAAATTCATGGACTGGACGTTCATGGTCAATAGTAAGCCAACTAATACATTCCCCAGGGATGTGAGGGGTGGGCCCACTGCAGCCCATGGCCAAAGCTGGCTTCTGCCTGTTGTTGTAGATAGTTACACTGGGACACAGCCACACCCATGCGGTCACCTCAGAGCTGCAATAGACCAGACCCACAAAGGTGAAAAAATATGGCCCTTTAAGAAAATGCTTTCCAGGTATTTAAGGCCAGGTTGGTAAAAAATTGACTGGTTCCTACCTACGGTTAAGGGTGGCTGAGGTTGCTCAGGGGTCATGCTTGGGGACTTGTGAAGAGCCTTTTGGCTCTGCTGCCCTCCCCCATCAGTAGTGCCAGCCACCAGGATGGGGCAGGGTCTGACTGAGCACCCATGGTCCCCTTAGAATAATCAGGAGCATTTCCCTCTCTGACCCTCCTCTTTGCAGAATGTGCACATGTTGGCTTCCTGTTCCCAGGGATCCTCACAATCCACCTGACTGGGAGGTAGGGCGACTCCCTGAAGTCACAAGGCCTTAGGGGGTCCATGATGTCCTAGGTCCTGGCCGACCTTAAAGGGCCAGGGCCAACCCCTGGGCTGCTTTTCCTTAGCCCTTTCATTCCCTGGGTTTGGTCTCCAAGTTTTGATTTTAAACTAGTAGGCCAGTTTCACGAGGCCAAGTCAGGGCCTCCAGAGGTCCCCATGTGGACCACACCAGAGATGTCCCAGGAGAAGACATCTCTGAAGAAGGGCCCAAGGAGTCCCAGAGAACAGGGGGCACTTGGTGCAGGACCCGCAGGGTCCTTGGCACACAGTGAGCGCCAGCCAGAGGCACAGACTGCGCTGTGTAGGAGAACAGAGAGCTCCAGAAGAAGCCCCAGGGCGGTCCTCAGCGACAGCCTGCCCTCTTGCCCCCTAGAGGCCAACTTCACTCTCCCGGGATGCGCCTTCCTCTCTGTACTCCAGAGTCCTCCCTCTTGAGATGGCCCCGTTCTCCCTGGACTAGGTCTCCACTATCCTAAGTAAACCTGCTCGTGCCTCTGAAAAAAGGAAAGAAAATGCTTGTGACCCTGCCCCGGGGGTGAAGGACCCTTGGCAACCCTGCCCTGGAGTGTGAGGGACCCTTGCCGACCCTGCCCTGGGTGTGAGGGGCCCTTGGTGACCCTGCTCTGGGATGTGAGGGACCCTTGGTGACCCTGCTCTGGGGTGTGAGGGACCCTTGGCGAGGCCTGCCCTGGGGTGTGAGGGACCCTTTGGGAAGCCTGCCCTGGAGTGTGAGGGATCCTTGGTGACCCTGCCCTGGGATATGAAGGGACCCTTGGCGAGGCCTGCCCTGGGGTGTAAGGAACCCTTTGGAAAGCCTGCCCTGGAGTATGAAGAAATCCTTGGTGACCCTGCCCTGGGGTGTGAGGGGATCCTTGGCAAGCCTGCCCTGGAGTATGAGGACCCTTGGCGAGGCCTGCCCTGGGGTGTGAAGGGATCCTAGGTGACCCCTGCCCTGGGGTGTGAGGGACCCTTGCCGACCCCTGCCCTGGGGTATGAGGGACCTTTGGCAAGGCCTGCCGTGTGCGTTGCTGTTTTTGAAGCCGAGTCCTGTTGTTTTGCCCAGACTGGTCTCCATTCGGGTTCAAGCAGGTCGAATAGGCTCCCCAGGGAAAGGGCTGATGACCCTGTCCTTGGCCGCCTTTCCTTGGTGCTGCTAGGGGTCCCACCCAGGGCCTCATACGCTGGGCACTCTGCCCACCTCTGAGCCATTCCAGGCCTCACCGAGAGGACAGACAGAGTTCACCTCATCTGAATGATTTCTTTCTCACAGGAGGCTCACTCCCAGACCTGGAATTGATGGGAACTGATAAGGCACTTCCATTTTTTTAGGTAATTTAAAAAATCCTGAATATTCTTTTTCATATATTGTTCAACATTTTTGAGTAAAGGCAATAAAATCGAAAAATTAATTTGGAAAAAATAAAAGTAGACTCCATACCTCTGGGGAAGTGGTGAAGTATCTGTGAACACCTGACTTTGGAATATGGAGCCACACCTGAGCCTCTGACAGGGGTAGACCAGCCAAGCAGTCTCCACTGTCTTCCCTGCTCAGCTCTCCAGCTTGGAAAATTTCTTCCCCAGTACTGGGAATTGAACCCAGAGGCACTTGACCACTGAAAGACATCCCCAGCCCCCCCACCTTTTTTTTTTAAATCTTGAGACAGGATCTCACTAATTTGCTGACACTGGCCCCAAACTTGTGATCCTCCTGTTTTAGCCTCCCCAGTAGTTTGGATTACAGGTATGTCCATAAAACTTTCAAGACACATGATTTTCAAGAGAAAAATGCCCAACTATAAATAAACTTTCAAGAGACATGATTTTCCTTTCTTTGCCCCCTAATGTGATTTTCTGAGTAAGAGGCTCCTACTTTCACTTCTCTTATTGGTGACAGTGGAATCATTAGCCCTTTACTTGAGGAGGTTATTCAATGTTTTTCTTCCATTTGGGTTCCCTTTGATGGCCATGTGTTTGGTGTTTCTAGCACTTTCCTAATAAGACTAGAAAAAGTGGTATATACTGTTTTTCTTTGACTTGGTCTAGCATTAAGTGTGAGATTTCCAAGTGGAAAATGAACAGCAGCTCCAAAAGCTTTGACTTCAGAGTTCAGAGTGTTCTGAGACTAATCTAAACTAGATTTATGTTCTGGGTGTTTTCTGATCACACTATTTTAATATTCATTCATTCATCCATTCACTCATTCATTGGGTGCTGGCCCCAGGGTCTGGCACACGCACAGATCTACCCTGAGCCACCACTGTGCACTAAAGCATTTACACCGGCTGATCCTCCCTCCGCCCCTTCCGCAGCTGTTGAAAGAGCGCCTCCTGTGGGCCTGTCAGCCAGTCGCTGCAAGCCCCGCAGCCCCCTGGGAATCACCCATCCCAACCTGTCAGACCAGAACCTTTGACTTGACCATTCTTACCAGAGCATTTTTACTGCCCTGAAATGAAATCCTGAGACAAAATGTCCAACCTGCACTCACGATTTCAAAACAAATCAGCACAAACCCTAAAGCACAACGTAAGAGAGGAGAGCGTGAGAACGAGCCGGAGAGCATTTGAACCAGCCGGCTCCCTGGGCTCCGGAGACGCCCTGCCAAGGTCCCCGCGCCCCAACACTGACTGCACCACACACACGCCAGCTGCAGAGAAGCCGGAGTAGGTCCTGGCATGTGGCAGAGATCAGGAGGTTGGGAGGGCAGGGGGCACAAGGGTGGCTGGGCCACGTGGCTGGGCCACCAGAGTCACAGCGTGTTAATAGCCCAAAGGAAAAGGCACCCTGTGAGAACCAAATGGTCAGCTCCAGGTTCAGGTCGTCCACCTGGATGGATGACGAGCAGCACACTTGGAAGTCACAGGAAAGGTTCATGCTATGCTTTGGCCCCCTGGCCCCACTCACCAAATTTTATGGCCACCTCAATTAGTGGATCTATTGAAAGATCTTCAGTGCCTTTCCAAACTGCTCCCATGTGAAGGGGACACTGCCAGGCACAGTAGCATGCACACTGAGTCCCAGAGACTCCGGAGGCTGAGGTGGGAGGATCACTTGAGCCTGGGAGTCCAAGACCAGCCTGGACACACAGTGAGACGCCACCTCGGTTTTTATAAAAATGGTCCTTGTGTCCCCCTCTGCATTGGCTCCTTGGAGATCAGCCAGCAAGAGATCACAAAGCGAACCCTGGGTCTCACCTAACTCCAAAATAACCCAGTGAGACGCATGGCTGATGGTGTGATCCTCACTGGGCGTGTGCAGACCAAGGTCTCTCCCTTTCCAACTCAGCTCCACTTTTTTTTTTTTTAAAGAGAGAGAGAGAGAGAGAGAGAGTTTTTTTTAATATTTATTTTTTAGTTATCGGCGGACACAACATCTTTGTTTGTATGTGGTGCTGAGGATCGAACCCGGGCTGCACGCATGCCAGGCGAGTGCGTTACAGCTTGAGCCACATCCCCAGCCCCAACTCAGCTCCACTTGACAGCACCCCTACAGGTGACTGAGCCCTGGCCATGGAAGAGTGGACAGAGAAAGGCTCCACCCACCCACTCTTCTCCCTTCCCTATGCACAGTAGTCCCTGAAGCCTCAAGTTAAGGGTGGAGAGCGGCAAGACAGAAAGAGCCTGGGCTGCAGATGAGGGGAACAGACTCGCTCCAGCCCTGGAACAGCCACTGGAGGGTGCAGAGGGAGCCAGGGCATTGGGATGGAGTCAAATCATTAAGGCCTAATCGTTAAGAAGTAAATCATTAAGACTTAATTAATCAGGAGAGCAAGTGTTTCCTTGACTAATGCATCCAGGAGTACCTTATCCTTGCCAATACCTGGACAAGAAGTGACTCTTAGCCATTCAGTGAGAAAGTTGTTTTTCAGGAACCCATGAGAGAGAGTGGGTAGAAAGAGTAGCATATAAAATATAAACATGCATGTTTATGTGTATGTGTGTGTATATATACTGAGGATTGAACCCAGAAGAGCTTGACCACCGAGCCACACCCCTAGCCTGTTTTATTTTGAGACACGGTCTTGCTGAGTTGTTTAGAGTCTCACTAAATTTCTCAGGCTGGCCTCAAATTTGCAGTCCTCCTGCCTCAGCCTCCTGAGTTGCTGGAACTGCCGTTGTACACTACTGCACCCAGAAGTAAGCAACAAATGTTTTAAATAGACATATGAAGAAGAAATACAAATGGTCAAGAGGGACATGCAAAGAAGCTAATCTCCTTAATGACTGGGGAAATGCAAATCCAAACCACAATGAGATGCCACTTGACACCCACAAGGATGGGCACAAAACAGAAAGCGGCAAGTGTTGGTGGGAATGCAAGGGTGCTCTACCACTGAACTACACTGCCCCAGTTCTACAGTTCTTTATTTTCTTTTGAAACAGGGTCTTGGTAAGTTCCCAGGGTGGTCTCAAACTCGAGAACTTCCTGCCTCAGCCTCCCGAGTTGCTGGGATTACAAGCACACACCACCACCTCTGGCTCCCCTTCATTTTATTTTATTTTATGTTTTTGTACCAGAGACTGAACTCAGAGGCACTCAACCACTGAGCCACACCCCAGCCCTATTTTGCATTTTATTCAGAGACAGGGTCTCACTGAGTTGCTTAGTGCCTCGCTGTTGCTGAGACTGGCTTTGAACTTGCGATCCTCCTGTCACAGCCTCCCAAGCCGCTAGGATGACAGATGTATGCCACTGTACCCAGCGGGCTCCCCTTAATTTCCCAAAGTATTACCATCGATCTCCCTGGGCTTCTGTGTGCACCAGGCCTCATCAGCCGCTCCTGGGCCACGACAATACAGGGGAGGTGTGAGCCGTCAGAAGCCCACACTCAGTGCACGCACCCCCTTTCTTCTTCCCTTCCAGACTTTGAACCCTGTCCCTAGGTCAGTGATGCTGGTCACCAGCAATGAGCAAGAGTGGGTTGGGAAGGTGACAATGTCCCCATCCACTGCCTACTTTAGCCCTCCAGGGACAGGCCATCCCTTCTGGGATATGCAAGCTCTTCCCCTGGTCCCTCACAGGCCTGTCCAGCTGATCCTGCGGACGGTCCCCTCCTTGCAGCCCTTTTCTCCCCTGTAGGTCATCACTCACCAGCTCTCCCTGGACAGCCTCCCCACTCTCAGCCCTGCCATCTCTAACACCCCCAAGCCAGGTCGAACTACAGTGTGCCCACCAGGCTGGATCTCCCTGGGTGCAGGGGCAGGGCGGGTCCTGGCACACCCAATCAGCTAGTCCTGGGGACTCAGGGCCTAGATTTGACCTAGCTCCACCCCAGGCAGAGCTGGGGGCCCCTCCAGCATTCCAGCTCCCAAGTCCTCTCCCTCCCTCATCTTCCTGTGTGACAGTCAGGATGGCCGTGCCTGCTTCCAGGTCCAGCTGAACCCTGGTCACCAGGCTGGTCACCTCGGCCACTGCTCAAACAGAAGAGAAGTGAAGCAGTGTCCCCCAGTTAAGTCAGCCCCAGCAGCCGCCCTGTAGGACCTAGAGAATTCCGGCCTCTCCGAACCTCTCCAGCTGACACAGTGGGTCACCGCCATGCCCTGGGCACCTCCCAGGGGCAGGAGGCCTTCAAGCTCAGACTGCTTGGCACAGGTCAGCGAGGTCGGCGCCTTAGCGGAAAGCGGAGGGAGGACGGTGGAGACCTGGGCCTCCAGGGACGAGGGCGGAGACCCCGCCGTCCGCCTCTCGCGCCGGCCCCGCCCCGCTCCCGCCTCCCCGGCTCCCGCGGCGACGGAGCCGAGCCGCGTCGCCACCCGCCCGCCCGACGGTGCCGCGGCGACACCATGCAGCCGCGGCTTTGGCTGTTCCTGGCCGCGCAGCTGGCGGGTAAGCGGGACGCGGGCGGATCTCGGCGGGACTCGGCGGGGTCGAGGCGGCTGGCAGGCTCGGTCCCCCGTGGGAAGGAAAGTCCCTCGGAGCCCGGTAACCCCGGGGCCCGAGAGCCGCTCTGGAGAAGGGAAGATCCAGGAGGAGGGACGGGAGGAGGGAGAAGAACGGAGGGGTACAGGGAGAAAGAAGAGAGGTCCTCGCGGTCCCCACGGGGATTTGCCCCTGGAAGAAGCCAGGAATCGCCTGGCCTTTGAGCCCCACACTTGCCCTGAGCTGAGGGTCCTGTGGATACATTTTTATCACTTCCGGGAAGTGCCCTCTCTAGTCCCCTCACTCCGCTGTCCTTTGGTGTGGGGTCCTGTGTGGTGGGATTCCCCAAAGAAGCAGGGTTAGGACTGGAGCGTTGGAATTGGCAGGTGGCGGGGGTCAGGATGGCCCCTCTGGCTAAGTCCCCCCAGACTACCTTTTGGAAGAAGGCCCCCCACGCCCCAAACTGCCCTCTAGCCTGTGGTCCCCAAAGCCCAAAGCTGTCATTCTGCCAGCAGGGGACAAGGCCTGACAGCACCAAGCTCTGACCCTGTGAGCTCAGCCATATCCAAACAGCAAGAACCCAGATCAGGCCAAGCCACAGAACTCTGCTGATCATTGGTGGCTCTGAGAAGAGACAACTCACAGGCCTCTGAGAAGAGACAACTGTGGGTTACTGGGAGCCACAATGAGACCAGCTTGGGGGCTGGCTCTGTGTCTGGCCCAGTGGGGGCTCTGTCTCAGCCTGCTGTTCAATCTCCAGAGGCCAAGAGGCAAATGGCCCAGAGAGCAAGAGAGCAGGAGCAGGGCGTGCCTCGGCAGGAGGGGAAATGGCCCCCACTGCCCAGGGAGGCTCTTCTGGGCTTTCTGGGCCAGGGTTTGGGTGGCGGAACATTTGCTGCCCCACTGTGCACATAACCTAGATCTGGGAAAGGAGGGCGGATTTCAGATGCCGTGAAACCTGCTCCAAGCGCAGGTGCTGGGGCCCCTGCAATCTGGATCCATCTGCCAGGCTGTGTGACCTTGAACAGTTCCTTCCCTCCTTGGGCCTGAATGTAAAACAGGTCTCCTTTAATCCTCAGGACCCAGTGAGGGTTAAATGAGGAAACACACACACCCTCCCGGGAGCAGCTCAGGAAATACTGTCGTTATTGATTCTTATTAACTCCCCAATGAGGAACCTCTGCCGGGTGACCTGGTGTCTGGGAAGAGAGGAGGTCCTGCTGCCACTTGGGCCCCGGGTGCCATCTCATTCTGCATGTCAGCAGAAGCTCGCGTGGCCTGGGAGCAGCATCAGGAAGTTCAGGTCCACCTCATCAGTACTGGAGAAGCCATTGTGGGAACACTGAGCCTGAGACACGAGTAGGGCAGGAGCACCCCTGGTCTAGGCAGCGCCCTGCTGCATGCCCCACGCACACACGCCCACACCCCGGCCTCCTCTGCCCACCCAGTCTGTGTCCTCTGTGCTTTGCCATGGTCTGCAGGGTCCCCCTCTGCTCCTTGCCCAGTCAGAATGGGCCTGTTGGGAACCTGTGTGACCTGGCAATGACTGTGAAGGGGACCCATTGGGATCCTTCTTGAGGTCTTACTTGTCGCCTGTAGCAGCCCCTGGGCTGTGGATAGGAGGACAGTGTCTCCCTGCGTGGACGGTTCTGCAGCTTGAGATGGTTCTTTGGTGCCCTTTCCTTTCTTTCTGGCCCTCAGGCCAACAGGATGGCTGTGGCCACCAGCCAGGGAATCTGCCCGGCTCCCAGCGGCTGGATTCAGCCACCCACCCACATAAGGAGAGAGCAAGCCATGTCGAAGGGCACTGAGGGATCTGAGGCTGTTTGGCCAGGACTGGGAGAAGCAGCCAGTCTGTCCCCACTGGACCCTAGAAACCAAGGCCAGGAGACAGTCGCCTGGGGATGGAGCAAGGCTGTGCTAGCCAGAGAGGTCGTCACAGGCCGTCTTGCCTGGGCCAGGGGTGGCTCTTCAGTCCCCATTCTCAGCAATAGGAAGTCCAGAGAGAACAACTCTCACCAGGAAGAAGGGGAAGGAAACAAGTTGGGGCTTTTGATTCTGCTGGGCCCTGCTACAAGATAGCCGCGGGAAGCCACCTCCCTCACGGCGTCTCAGGCATAGACTCGGTCCCACAGATGGCCCACAGCAGAGGCAGGTTCCTGCCAAGCCTCGAGTTCCCCTCTAGCTCCTGGTGGACAAGCCCCACCTGCAGGGAGGCTCACGTGAACACCCGCCCTGCTCCTGGGGTGCATCCTTCCACGCAGAACGGGGTTCTGCGACCGTGGATCGCTGAGCTGGGAGTGATGGGGACAACTGTGACCACTGGGGCAGTGAGCCCCTTCTGCTGTTTGTCCAGAGTGGTGGCTATCCTCAGCTTGTCCAGACCAGCTGTGGGCTCTGCCTGGCACTCAGTCTCTCCCGGCTCTCCTGAAGTGGCTTAAGCTACTGAGGCCTGAGCATAGAGTGGCCCCAGCTTTGACTCAGACTTTGGATCCTGTGGTTTGAATCCAAAGCCACTTGCAAGTAACTTTGGAAAAGTACCTTCATGGCCAACTTTTCTCCTCTATGCAATGGAGATTAAACTCCTGAAGCCAGGTTGAGGGCCAGCATATCCATGTGCTACCCACAACTGGCCGCTGTCTCTCCTGGGCCTATGGTAAAGCTCGGCACAGGAAATACTTGGCAGCCGATCTCCTGGGTGGTGAGATGTATGAGCTCTGAGTGCAGAGGCACCCATCACATTCACACCTGGGCCCTGTCTCTGGACAGGTTCTCCATGGCTTTCCCTCGGGCACCGGCTCAGTGTGACTAAGGCCTCACATGGTGGCCAGAACATGTGCTGATGGTCTCTGCCCCCTGGTCTCTCGTAGCTCTCCATGGCGGCTCTGCCTTCCAACAGACCCCTGGGTTCACGGTGGCTCTGACCCACCAAGTGGTGACACTGTCCTGTAAGACCACAACCTCCTTGAGCCAAGTGCGTGTCTTCTGGCTGCGACAGCCTCAGCTCCCCAGCGAGCACAGTTGGTACCAGTTCCTGGCCTCCTGGCATCCCCCAAAAGAGACGACGTATGGAGAGGCAGTGGCCAAGGAGAAGCTGACTCCGTTCTCAAATGCCACCGGGCACTTTCTCAACCTCACGAACGTGAGGCCTGCGGACAGTGGCGTCTACTTCTGCATGACTGTCGGGGCCCCTGAGCTGACCTTCGGGAAGGGAACTCGGCTGAGTGTGGGTAAGAACGGCGCTCTGGGCTGGCCACTCTTGGGAGCCTACTCTGCAGCCATGACCGAGAGCTGGGCATCACAGAGGGCGCGTGCGGGCCTGGCCAGGGCAGGCACCCGCCGCGTTTCCCACAGGGTGTCACTCAGTACTGTACCCACCCAGCTGGGAGCATTTTACCACTCCCATCTTACTTGGAGTCAGATGAGCCTGAAGGAGACAGGGGCCATGCTTCTTATGGGGACAGGGCAGTGCTGTCCTTCAGGCCCACCTGGTGGTGGCTGGATGGGGATGAATCCCAGGATCCCAAGTGTGCAGACAGGGAAAGAAGCTTCCCATCGCCTGCATACACTCAACAAAAGCATGTCTGGGTAATGGAGGGGCAGATGCCCCAAATGTTCTTTGTGGGGCCTGTGGTTCAAGCCCGCACTTGAAGTTTAGAGACGAAGGAAATTGGACCCCAGGCCCAGCTGTGCTGTGAATCTGCCACGTGCCTTTGGGCAGTCCGCTCCCTCCTGGCCTCAGTTTCCTCATCTGCTCTGGGGGCTGCTGACGGCCTTGTGTCCCCTCAGGCCTGAGAAGCATCGGTGCCCTGAGTTAAGGCAGTGTCCAGTGGCCGCACACTGTAAGCTACGGGTGTAAGTTAAAATTTTAACAGCCAGATTTTAAAGTGTAAAAAGAAACAAGTGGAAGACTTTATGTGACGTTTTACTCAGCCATCGCGCAGTTCACAGCGTGCTCACACTGAGTGCCAGGGTGTACTGATGCTTGTGGCGTGTCCACCCAGACTGGCACACACCCAGCCGCACATAGCCAGGGGCTGCTGTGCTGGCGGAGAGGGAAGTGGAAATTCCCTCAGGCCTGCACCCGGCTGTGGCCCCTTCCCCAGCTTAGCCTGTGGCCGGGCCTCCCACAGCTTCCACCCACCAGGGGTGCAGAGCAGGACTGGGGAACCCCAATAATCACACTGCTCAGCATAAGAAGGTGCAGGACAGCTGGGGACAGTGGCTGAGTTAGGAAGACAAAAGCCAGAGTGATGCGATGCCTGTCCTCAGCCTGGGGTCAGATTCTGGGCGAGAAGCAAGGCCTCCTCGGGGAACAGTGTTGAAACCCGGCTTGAGGGTTGGGTTGCGGTTGGTTTACAGCCTTGGCTCTGAAAGCCCCCATCTCCCCACCATGAGACTCCAGTCTCTGTGGAGTAAGTGCCACTGTTTTCCAGAAACCTCTCACCACCTCCACCCCCACCCCCCACACCTGGCTTCAAAGCCACTGCTCACCTCCCAGGACTGGCCACAGCTCCCGAAGCTCCCCAGAGCCCAGGTGTGCAGAGCTAGCACCCACCTGTGTGGCCGAGGTCCTGTGTGTCAGAAAAGCCTGGGTGGTGGAGAGGCCCGTCACCAGGCCTCGAGGTGTCCCAGGGCTCAGAGGGCCTGCGCCTTCCAAGGCCAGAGAGAGAAAGAGCAGCTGAGGAGAACGAGACTCTGCAAGAAGGAATTAAAACAGAACAAGCCCACGCCCCAAGCCCCAGCAAGGCCCAGGTCCGTGGTGCCAGCCCCATCTCCTCCGGGCTCCTGCTCCAGCTGAGGGGCTCCCTGCAGGCCAGTGGAGCTCTCGGGCCACAAGCGCCGAGCCTGCTGTTCATCCTCTTACCGTGGTCCCCAGCACCCTCAGGTCACCTAAGGCTCAGGTCAGCCTAAGTGTTCCACCTTTGTCAGAAAACGTTGGTGCCCGGAGCAGAGTGGTGCAAGAGGAGTGCTGGGGTGGAACCAGGCTCTGGGTTCAGATCCTGACTCCCCGGTTGGTCTGAACAAGCTGTTACAGCCTCTGAGCAGAGGCCTCCTCAGCTGCTCGCTAGGCCCAGGCTCGCAGGGGCCGTCCTCTCAGGTTGAAGCGCCAGGGAGCTCAGGACAGTCTGTTCTAGTTTCCCCAGTTCTTCCCAGGAACACCATAGAGCAGATAAAGCTGCCGCGTCCTCCACCTTCCAGAGGAGGCCCAGGAGAAGAGGCCCCGTGTCCTCTCTGCGTATGGAAGGTGCCAGCCCATGGGGACCATTGCCAGCCACCCCTCCTTGCTCCCCCGGCTCTGGAGGTCACGCTCAGCTTGCTTCCCTCTTCGTCTTACCACTTTGCCAAAAGATGGCCTCATTGAGGAGTTTCCTCGGCCCAGGGGGGCGAGGGCTGGTGGCCGCCATGCTTGCTCACGGCTCGCTCAGCTCTGCAGAACCCTGGGTCTCCCTTCCCTCTGGGGGTGGCCTCACTGCCCTCTCCCAACCCTGCAGCAGGGGACACTGGCCTGGGGAAGGAGGGCAGTGGTGCTTGGGGGCCTAGCCCAGCACTGGCCTGCAAGGCCTCCTCCAGCCCCCATTGCTGGAGTTCACCTTTGAAATTGAAGTGGAGACTACAGGTCCCCTTAGACTTTCAAGGACAGCTGAGAGGGAGAGCAATCCCAGACAGGTGCTCTGTATGGCTCAGTCCGGGAGCAGGGTGGCCCCTTCCCATGAGCCTCTCTGCTGGCTCAGGGGTGGCTGTGCCAAGGCCTGGGGACTCTGGTGGCAGCTCACAGCCTCCTGCCAGGCAGCCCTCACACACGTTGCAGCCACAGCGACCCTGAGAAGGAGGTGGAGTCATGTTATTGTGGCAGGTGGGGACGCTGAAGCCCAGAGAGTGTGCGGGCTTTCCCACGTCTCATGGTGGCCGTCTCACAGTGGCCGACCAGGGTGCTGGCTCTGCTCAGGTCTGGGGGCTGCAGAGCCCCTCTCTGCAGGACCCAAAGCTGGCCCCCATTCCTGGGCCTCAGATACATCTGAGATTCCAGAAAAGGATCAAAATTCTTTTGCTCTGTCACTTGAATCCCTGTGACAGCCCAGGGGACCATCATAGGGACTTTTGTGCCTATGATGTAGGCAGCTTTGAATTTGTCTCTACATCCACCTGCTGTTTATCTGATTCGGGTGTGTCTTGCTTTCCTTCTGTAGTCGATGCTCTTCCCACCACTGCCCAGCCCACCAGTAAGTCCATCCCCAAGAAAAGAACCTGCCAGCGCCCTAAGCTGACAGCCCAGAAGGGTGAGTCTCCATCCCCAGCACCCTCAGAATGAGGCAGGCGTCCTCCCCTCCTTCCTTCCCACCTTCCTCTCCTCCTCCCCTCCCTCCTCCCCTCCTTCTTCCTCTAAGCCTTTGCCAAGTGTCCACTCTGTAGCCTGATTCCCCAGCCTGAGCTGGGTCCAGAAGGGACACTGAGCAACAGCAGCTCCCTGTCCAGTGGTCAGACTCACAAATCATCACAGACAGACCCCAGGGAGAATCTACCACCAAAACACTTGCACACGATGGTTCATTTTGGCTGAAAGCAGAAACAACCCAGATGTCCACCAGCTAATGAATGTGATAAAATATGGCCTCTGTTACAGCAGCACATCGGCCACGTAAAGAACCAAGAGCCGATAGGTGCCCTGGCTGGACCTTGGAACTGCTACACAGTGGAAGAGGCCAGTCCCAGAAGGCCACGTGCTACACGGTGCCCTGCTATGAAATGTGCAGGTGGCACTCCATAGGAACAGAGGGCGGGTGAGTGGCCACCCAGGGAGGGCTGGAGAGTGACCTGGGGAGTGGCCCGAGGATGCAGCTCAGAGGGAGAGAGACAGAGAGGTGGAGAAGCAATTCCTGGGGGTGCAGGGTTTCTTTCTTCTGGGGGTATGGACAAAAGTGAGAATGTGGTAATGGTCACATCATTCTACCAAGATGGAAAGAGCCACCATGTTGTGCACTGGGAACAGGGGCTTTATGATATGCAGATTGTGCCTCAGAAAGACTGTTCAACAAAACCCAACCCAGGCCGGGCGCTATGGCACCCTCCTATAATCCCAGCAGCTCGGAAGGCTAAGGACGAGGATCACAAATTCAAGGCCAGTCTGGGTAACTTAGCAAGACCCTGTCTCAAAATAGAAAATGAAAAGGGCTGGGGATGTGGCTAAGGATTGTAGCTCAGAGGTTCAATCCCCAGCACTAACAGAAAACAAAAACACACATGCACAAAACCAGCCCTCGGCTCCCTCCCTCCCGTGTCCTACCCATGGAGTCAGGGCTGAGCATGGCTGTGTCTCTCCAGGTCTGCCCTGTGGCATTGTCACCCTCAGCCACACTTTAAGCTTTAAAACTCTCCCCATTTATTTTTTGTTTTTTAGTTGTAGATAGACACAATAGTTTTATTTTATTTATTTGTTTGTTTTCACATGGTACTGAGGATCAAACCCAGGGCCTTGCATGTGCTAGGCAAGCATTGCACCACTGAGCCACGCCCCAGCCCCTCTCCCCATTTTGATGCTTAACTGAGGACCTAACACATGGGATGCGCTCACTGTCTGTTGGTCAGTGAGTGGACAGAACGGCCCATCTATGCTGTAAGCACCAGACCCCATAGCTGAAGTGGCACACGCACACAACGTGTCCACCCACACACTTTTCTTGATCATCAGTCCAAACGTGTTTCTGGAAAACTACCGGCCTCAGACCCTAAAAGTAACTGGTGACAAACAGAAAGTACCATCTGCCACTTCCCAGAGACAAGCCACAGCATCCCCACCCCCACGGGACTGACTTCTGTAGTGGGTGGCTTTTGTTACCATACAGAGTGCCTGACAGGGGCTGAGGAGGGGCACCCACAGGACTTGGGCTCAGCTCAGGGAAATCAGAGCCCCTGTGCAGACGGGCAAAGCTTCTGGAATAGAAAGCGGGGCAGAGTGGCCTAGGTCCATGATGCACCAGGCCCTGACAACTTGGCCTGAGGCCCTGAGGCAGATGGTACTACCACAGAACAGGACACAGGGAGCAGGACACAGGGAGCAGCCCAGTGGGGCCCTGGCTCAGCCAGCCCATGACCCCAGCTGCACAGCAGCTCCAGCAGGTAGTGACCACTCCACAGGAAGGCTTCCAGGCGGCCATCCTCAGGCGCCCTGAGGCCACCTCCAGGACTTCTGAAAACCGTCAGGGTTATAGTCTGCCAACCATAACATCCACATTAAGCATGCGGACTTGGGGACTCTTGGAGCATGGGACTCAGGATAGTGCACCACCATTGAGCCTTAGGAGGCCTCAGGACCCAGTGAGACCCTGCACGTGTCCAGAGCTGGTGTCCTCCTATCGCAGCCCCTGGCAACCATGAGTCCCTCTCCACCTCCCCAGTCTGTGCCCCTGGCAGTTCGTATAAACATAACTACACGATCTGGGTGCTTCCATTGGTCTCACGCTTGGCTGCTTCCACCCAGAGCCACATTTCTGAGGCTCATCAAGTTAAGGGGAGCTGGAGAAGGTGAGTGGAAGCCGGGCAGGAACCTGGAGAGAGCTGGGCCTCTCTTCCAACCCGTTGCCTGTGCAGGAGCCTCCATGTCCCCGTCGTTGGCCTTGGCCTGTGCCCTCCCAGCGATGGCAGGTTCCCTTCCAGGAGCTTGGGCAGCACAGGTGGGCCAGGCAGGGCTTGAGAACTCGGATGACCGGTATCTGCACCTGGTCCTGCCTCATAGAAGCTGGGTAACCTCAGGTTTATGATTGAACCTATTTGAATCTTGGTTTTATGAGCCTCAAAACGTTCCTTCCCCACAAGATGAGGGCTTGCACCTAGTCTGCCCTTGGCACGCTGCATTCAGTACAAACTCCCTCCTCCCTGACATCTAAGATGATTCCTAATTTTGTTAACCTCAAGCCCAAAATATGCAGCCTTGCCCCGTCACCCTTGTGCCTCAGTTCTGGACCTCAGCTACTAGAGGGACCAACCACAGGTCCCGACAGGTATTGGAGAAGGGTTTGGGGCATCACTTTAAGAATGGAAGCTTTGCTCCTGGGTGGGGTGTATAGCTCAGTGGTACAGTGCTCTTTGGCATGCCTGAAGTCCTGAGTTCCATCCCCAGCACAGAAAAAACAAAACAAACAAACCCAACCTCTGCTACTTAAATAATATGCAAAATGAAAGGAACAGAGTGCCAGCTCACAGAAGAACATTCATACATGAGCTGGGCATGGTAGTGCACACCACGATGCACACCACCTCCCAAGGGCTCAGGAGTCTGAGGCAGGAGGATTGGGAGTTCAGAGTCAGCCTCAGCAACATGGTGAGGCCTAAGCAACTTAGCAAGATCCTATCTCAAAGTAAAAAATAGAAAGGGCTGGGATGTGGCTCAGTGTCAAAGTGCCCCTGGGTTCAATCCCCAGCACCCCTAAAAAATTTAAGGTGGAGGGAGTCTAAGATTTAGTAATTTCCATCTTCAGTATCTGCTCAGGAAGACATCCGTATTAGGAAACATACCAGGATGTTCTCCGAGGGTTGCTTGTAAAACACAGGAATCGGTCCAGTTGCACACTCATGGCTAAATAATCCATGCCTATCCATACAGTCACGTATCAATTGCTGGGGAAAAGAACATGCTGTGTGATCAGATGAAGAGGGCGAAGCCCTTGCAGAATAATCTGTACAGTGGAATCCACTGCATTAAAAAAAAAAAAACTTAAGTATCTGTGGAAATCATGTATGCATAAGTGTGAAAAGAAAGACCACCAAATTATCAAGAGTGATAATCAAACTTATCAAAGGAGCCAGGGTGCCAAGGAGCACGCTAACCACACATTTAAACCTGTACAAAGAAAGTACAGTCAGCTATTTCTTATGAAATTCAAACAAAGGTTTTTAAAATATGCAGTGAAAACATTGTTTCCATACATGACAATTGTCTACCTCCTTGGAACACAGAGACCTCCTGAGTTTAATTAATTTAAAAAATATTTGGATGTGAAACATGGAATTTTTATACAAAATTACCTCAGAGGTTTGAAGTGCACACAAATAGGCCTCGAAGGAGACCCACAGGGGGCCAGGGGTGGGCCTGAGCTGGCCCTGGGCTGGGCCTGGGCTGGGCCCCCAGCTCCCTCCCTCCCATGTCCTACCTATGGAGTCAGGGCTGAGCATGGCTGTGTCTCTCCAGGTCTGCCCTGTGGCATTGTCACCCTCAGCCTGCTGGTGGCCGGCATCCTGGTCCTGCTGGTGTCCCTGGGCGTGGCCGTCCACCTATACTGTGAGTGGCCCTTCCTCTACTGGCTGGGGGCCTACTGGGGTCTGCAGTGGCTCTAGGGTGGTCTCTTCTCCGGGGGAGCAGGGCCTGCTGGGGACTTGCCCCGGGGACCCTGTGGCGCTCCGAGGTGACCCTTCTCCTGTTTGTCCCCCCACCCCGTGGCCCTGGTGCTGGGGAGGGAACCCAGGCCTCAGGCTTGCTGGGCAGCACCCGGCCAGAGGCCTTCTTGGCCTCAGCCATGCTGCATCAGAGGCGGCCGTCTGTTCAGTGAGGCCGACCTGGCTCTGAGTCCAGTGCTGCCACCCTCACCCATGACTGGCCTTGGGCCTGGCCTCTCCCTCGCAGAGTGCCTGGTGGGCAGCATGTGCTCAGTAAGCGGGGACTCCCGTGAGCTGTGGAGGCTCGGGCCCAGGACCCAGGAGAGACCGCTGGTGAGGTTTGAGTAATGCTCCTGAGTCCTACCTCTCAGGGAGGCAGCTCCCCTGGTCCCTCTGGGTTCCCAGGCTCCACTCAGCACAGGCTCCTACTAAGGGTTGGGGGAGGCGAGACCTAGGCTGCCCTCCTCCAGCTGTGCTGCCCTGGGCACATGGCCGCCCCTCTCTGAGCTTCTGTAAGACAGGCAGGGTGGCACATTAGAGGCAAGGCCTGGACCACAGCCCTTAACTTGTACAGGTCACTGAGCCCTGGGGAGGTGTGATGTCTTGTGGACCCTCGTCTGCCCACCACTGCTCCCTGCAGTGGGTCTGCGTGCCCTGCTCTCAGAACCCCCTGAAGCTCAGGGACTGCAGACTTTCCTGATTAAGGACCTTATCAGTAAAAAATTTAAAAACTGGTCTCATTAACTGCAATTGCCCAGTTTATTTATCAATATATCCCAGGTGTTTCTAAGTGGGCTTTGGAGGTCAAAGTAACGATGGGGAGATCAAACACGAGGGGCTTGCTCTGGCTTCCTTCCCACCCCCCAGGAAGTCTGGAGCCACCTCTCCCATCTGACCTGCATGTCCTCTGACACCTGCCTGGCCCTGGGCAGGCCACTCAGTGGCCCCCTCACCTGTGCCTCAGCTCCTATGGGTAACGGGACAGTTGTAGCGTCCACCTGACAGGTTCTCAGTGAGCATGAGGGGCCACGGGTGTGTGAGGGGCTGGAGATAGAGCCTTGTGCAGAGGTGGCCTGAGGTGCTGGCCAGCCCTGTCCTCCTATGGTCCTCTGGGTCGGTGCTAGTGGTCCACAGCCTGCACTGACCAGCTCCTTGCTCTCCCTTCCAGGTCTTCAGAGGAGAACCCGGCTTCGCTTCATAAAACAGTGAGTGTGTGGGGCTCCTTACAGGGCCCTGAAGGCCCGTGTGGCCCTGGACACTGGGCCTTGCCCCGTTTACAGTCTCCCACTGCAGCTGGGAGCAGAATCAGCTGTCACCTGCAGAGAGCCACAAACAGAGGGGGAGAGAGGGGTGACCTAGAGGAACACAGACACCACTCGGGGTGTTTCAGGTGGGGGAGTGCTTAGCTCTCAGCTCTGTGGGTTGCACCCATCAACCCTGCAGGCAGAGCACGAGGGGGCTGGGGAGCCCAGGCTCTGTCCCAGCTCCATTCACCTGGGCTTGTGTGAGAGAAGGGCCATCACCCCACTTTGCAGATCAGGGGAGGTGGGCCTCCCCTCCATAGTTGCTTCCCTGCCCAGAGCTGGCCTCCCCTCTGCTACCTGTAACCCCACCTAGTACCAGGACAGGCTGTGTGTCAAAGGGCCCTGGAGGCCGCCGGGTCCCTGAGCCAGCTACGTCTTGCGGGTGATTTGCAATGAGTCTCATGCTGGGCGATTTCACCCAGGGGTCGGATTCAGAAACCCGTCAACCTCAGGGATGATAACTTGAGGGCATCTGCCAAAGGCCAGCCCTCCAGCAAGAAGTCCGCTCAAAATGCCCCACATGATTTGTGTTTGTTTTTGTTTGTTCTGGGTTTTTTATTTTTGTTCCTGCTGCGGATGGAGCCCAGGGCCTGGCAGGTGCTGGGCAAGCACCCTACTGCTGAGTGACACCAGCCCTTTTTACTTTATCTCTCTAAGCTGCCCAGGCTGGCCTTGAACTTGTGACCCTCCTGTCTCAGCCTCCAGAGTTGCTGGGATTACAGGTGTGTGTCCCTGCACCCAGCTCCCATGGTGGCCTCTTAAGAAGAACGGAGCCCCGCTCTGGGCACACCCTGTGATCTGTCCCCAGACTCTCTTGCTTTAACTTGTTCCCCAGTGACCTGAAATCAGTTCTGGATGAGCCAGAGGCAGGACCTCATGCTTTGGCAAACCAGGGTTCCTAGCACCAGTGGAGGGAGGGAGGGAGTGTTGGTGGTCACAGGGCCACTGCGCCCACCTCACCCTCCTCAGTTGAAACAGCTCTGCTTTCATCTACTGCCTGGGTTTACATGTTCTTGTAAGATGTCATCTGAACAAAAAGGTTTGTGGCTAAAAAAGCTTGCAAACTGCCTCTGGTCTTGCTGTTGTGATCCAGGTATGGTGAGGAGTCCCTGGGCCTCACAGAGCAGGTGTTCCAACCTCCAGCTGTGGCTTAGTCGCATGTCCTGCAGCCCCTCAGCCCCGACCTGTGGGAAGAGCCATGGTCAGGCAGTGTGTCCAGCCCTCACTGTGCATTTGTAGAGGCCCTGGAGGAAGTGAGACCTCGGAGCTGGGGTGCCCTGGGCCGGGTGCTCTGGGTTCTGATCCTTGGGACTTTGAGCTTTCGAGTTTTGTTGAATGACCCAGCAGTGCCCTAAGAACATCCTCACACTAACCACGGCCCTAGCTACTACATTTGGCCTGCGTCTGTCATCTGCTGAGCGTCTCACCCCTTCCTGTTTCAGGTTTTACAAGTGAGCAGACTGCACCAACATGAGGAGACAGACATCGGTCAGCAATAGTCCACACAAGTGGGAGAGGGACATTCTTGCTGACCACCACATTCTTGATGACCACCCTCTTGAGCCACCCGCTTTTAACTACAGCAAGTTCTTTCTTCAGGCCTCGCATGTGGGAGCAGCTTGTGAGGACCCAGGCCCCGGGTCCCCACCGAGCTGGCCGGGCACTCAGCAACACCACCAAGGCACCTCTTCTGGCTCCTGCCTCCCCCGCCTGGGCTTTGGTGGGGCCCAGTAAGCCACCATTGCTGCCGCTTGCTTTTCCTGGCAGAGTGGTGACATTGGCTCCTGAGGCTCGTGGAATGGAGTTGGGATGGCCTCCTGTGCGTTCCCAGGCCAAGGCCGATGTCCTCCCTGCCCTCATGGTGGGAGGCCAGCTATGTCGAAGGCTCCCGGCAGCCCTGTTGGTCTCTGAGGCCTTCCCCTCTACAAGGGAGTTTCTCAGGCTCATGTCTCCTCTCCCATGGCTTGTTTATTTCTTCTCTTACTCTCTGCCCTTTTTATGAAAATATCTCAGTTGTAAAAATAAAGTCCTGGGTTAAAGATGCAGTGACTCCTGTTATGACAAGAGCCACTTACAGGAGAATGCTAACGCTCAGTTGAGGAGAAACAACAAGGATGTGATTTGTACGTCCTCATTTTACATCTGAGATGCACGTTTGTAGCCAGCAGTAGGTATACAGACTGGGGGCAGGGAGCATCGGGACACCCAGAGGCCAGCACCTCCTGGCTAAGTGACTTCACTGCTCTTGCTCTTGAGGGCTGAGCCCCAGGGACTGCCGGCCTCGGGCCACCTGGGAAGGGAGAGACAGCAGGTTGCCCACCTTTCATTGGTCCCTCAGCCTTGGTGGCCAAGGAAGGACAGGCAACACTGAGCTGGGTGCAGAGGAGGACCTGGGCATTTTGGAAAGGTCCCTGTGTGTCCTCTAGTCCTGCCCTGGGCTCTAGGGCCCAGGACTGGTGAGCAGGCCTCCTCCGCCCAACCCGGAGAACCTAGCCCACCTGCTTCTCTGTGCCTGCTCAGAGAAGGGTGTGGGCCACCAGCTGTGGTCAGAGGCCTCTGGCAGCCACAGAATGTTAACATGTCGCAGAAAACAGGAAAGAAAAGACGGCTGGGGGGCGGGGGGGGCAGCGCATCCCCTCCAGCATCTGAGACGCAGGTGGCTGGGGGCAGGGCTGCGCGTGGGCCGGGGGCAAGGAGGGCGCAAACGCAGTGACCTCCAGAGGAGCCGAATCTTCCTACCCATCAGCTCTGGGAACAGGGACGGGCCACCTTCCATGGCTGAGGGGAGAGGTAAGAGGCTCGGGCTGGCTGGACCCGCGTCCCTCGTCAGGCAGGCCCTGGCCAGGCCTCCTGTGTGAGCGATGAGAGACTGAGGCCCAGACTGAGCACACACTGGCCGCAAGCAGCGGAAGGAAGAACAGGCCGGAGGCCCTGGCCCCAGGGCTACCTGCTGCTGTCTGTGCTTTGCTGCTGCAATGGCTGCGCTGGGACCGGCCTGCCCCTGTCTGTCTTCCAGGCCACAGGCACCCACCTGCAGGCTCAGCTCTGGCCGCCCAGGAGCCACAGCAGCCTGGCGCATCGGTGGGGGCTGCGGTGAGGAGTCTGCACCCAGCACCTGGCTTGGGTTCTGAGGAAGACACTGAGCTGCAGCCACCATCTTGGGGACACTGTGGCAAGATACATGCACAAGCAACCAACTGCCATCCTCTGCCTGGCACACATTGCCCAGGACACTTCAGAAGTGACATGTACAAAGAACACGCATGAGATTGTTCATGTGCTCCTGGTTTTCAGGCCCCAGCTGGGAACAAGCTGAATGCCCATCAAAGGGACCAGATAGCAGTATGACAATACGGCCTCACGGGGTCCAGACAGCTGCCAGGAATGGCTAGACCCCAAGTGACAGCCACTTCACCTGCCTGTATCCCAAGGGCGGGGAACAGGCCCCGGTAAAGCACCAACCAGACGCCAGGGCCAGCCTCCTGCTGCCCTGGGAGGGAGCAGGAGGCCTGGGGGCTCTGCTTCTGCAGCTGGGGGTCAGGCACAGGAGGGCATCCAGTGTGGGGACTTGCTGAGCTGCAGGTGAGCCTTCCACGGTATGGATGTAGAGGAAGAGTCACAAGAAATTTAAAAATCCAAACAGAGGAGCCTGGGCTGGGGCTCAGCCTGTGAGGCCCTGGGTTCCATGCTCAGCATCAAATAAAAAGAAAGAAAGAAATATCCAACTACAACTAAAACATTTAAAAAAAAAAAATCCAAATAGAGAACATTGCAGATCATCAAAGCACGTGTTTAAAAGTTTCTCATTCTTCCAGACTTCTGTCTGCACATAGCTTTTTCAAACCGAAAATTGAAATCTTATAAATACAGAATATGATAGAGAAAATGCTTAATACATAATATATAGAATACAGAAGATTAATTGTTTTACAAATTTGATTTGTGTTCTCTAAGAATTTATCAAGGCTTCTGGGTTCGTGTGTGTGTGTGTGTGTGTGTGTATGTGTGTGTGTGTGAAGTCTCGAGGGGTTTATGCAGCCATTCCTGGCTGTGGCTTTGGAGGATTTCCAATACTGTTGTGCTCAGGGGTGTTGTGTGAATCTTTGGGACAATCCGATTATTATTTTTGTAATGGGGGAGGGGACAAAAGTTTGGAATAAAGAAACAACTTCTTTTCAAAAGGACTCTGATTCTTGTTATTGTACAAAAACGATGGATTCAACTTAATAATCCAAATTTGTCCGTAAGTTAGGGTTTTGAACACTGACACCAAGGAAGTCACTGTGTCTGAATCCAGTCAGCAGCCAAGCGCGGCTCTGGGCTGGCTGAGGGACTGGGCTCCCCCTGGAAACAGCCTCCACAGCGTCTCCTTCTCTGTGCTGCAGTGACCTTGACTGACCCCAGTGGGTGGAAGGGTCTCGAAGCAGCGGTGCCCCGCTGCTCTTGTTAGGAAGCCCCAGGGCCGGTTCTCAGGAGGAGAATCTCCAAAGCCACCCTCCTTTCATCCTGACTCATCCCGCACCTGGGTCTCTGCCTGTAGGAAGTGGGCTACTTGTTTTCAGAAAGAGATCCCCAGCTGCGTGGGCTGCTGGGCTGGCCCGAATTTACCACCCAGTCAGAGGGAAAGAGAAACTGCCCTGTCTTCACAGGCCTTCCCAGGCGGTGGGGACAGTTTCCTCTGTCACTTTTTTGGGAAACCTCCTCAGTGCGTCACCACACTTGGGGACCACGAACCCCTGGTTCCTGGACCTCTGTGGCTCCGTGACTCAGGGCTGGACCCACCCAGAGGGAACCATGTTCCCACACACTCTGGGTTCACAGAAACATGCCCACACCTGCGGCTCCCAGTGAGCCCGTCACACATGAGTGCTCACCTTCCAGCTTAGCCGTGCTAGACATGGAGCCCAGGGCCTCCTGTGGGCCAGGGGGGTACCCTACCACCACACTGCACCCCAGCCCTCCATACATTCTCAACTGTGACCACCTGCCAATCACATAAGATGGAACCCCCACCCCTCTCCGCAGGTGCCTTGGTGCCAGTTTCCTTGGGGAGCTTCTGTGTGCCCAGCCTAGGCTGGGGCCAGGGATGCAGCGTGGCCAGTTAGACCTGGCAGGGCCACAGGGCTCGGGGGTGCTTGCCAGAGGCACAGGAGTGTCAGTGCCTCCTTCCCAGAGCATCTCTGACCCCTTCCTGTCCCCGTACAAGTGGCCAATGTTCCCAAGGTTAAGCCAGAATCTAAATGAGGAGAGGAGCAGAGGGCAGCTGGGAGGTCCTCGGGCCTTGGCCAGCCCAACGCGCCCTCCCCTGCCCCGTCCCCTTCGATTCCCACCAGCGCCCCTGTCCCCCAAGGCCACAAGGACCCTGGGAACGTCGCTCTGCCGTGTAGGCCCCAAGCCCTGCTGAACAGAAGCTCAACATGCAGACATTCACTGAGCACACGTGTTCAGGCCCTAGAGATTCAGCACTGTCCCCAACCCCACGGTGACATTTCAGGGGACACAGACACTGAGGCACTCACACAATTCCAAGTGTGGCCTCCCTGCCACAATGGTCCCATCTCTGCACCAGCTCTGGGCAGACAATAAACGAGGGGACGGAGATGCTCCCTGCGAGGCAGAGGCATGAACTGCCTTCCCACAAAGAGCTGCTAGGCAACAGTGTCCCAGCCCCTCCCACAGCAGGCTGGGAGGTCCCTGCAGGTGGGTGGGGCAAGGGGGGGTGCTGGCTGGCAGGGTAGGGTGGAGGCCCACCTCCCCAGCAGGTCTGCCCAACCTGTGGGCCTTGAGCTGGCTGCGGGACTTACCTGCTGGCCAGGCCAAAGGGAGGCCACTCCAGTCCTCGGCCCCTGCCACAGGCCTTTTCCAAGCTCTGGGGACATGGGGAGGGTCTGGCAAAGGGAAGCAGCCAGCACAAGACTATACCTGGCTACAGAGAAGTCCCTGGCCAGGCTGGGGCAGAGTTGGGGCTGTGCTGACCCTCCTTCCATCCGGGCACCAGGTACAGGATGACTTCCACAGGCCACAGGCCTCAGTAGAAGGCCTTTTATGGACACCCCTCAAAGGCCAGCTCCTCAGAAACTCAGATCCCATGTCTGGCCACCAGACCTGTGCTGCAGGAGGAGGAGGCTCAGGCCGCAGCTATCCTCACATCCTGTGACCTCCTGCTGGGGAGTGGCCAGCATGCCTAGCACATGGGTGCTGTCGGGGCAGTAGCGCTGTTGGGTTTTATCAAGGTCTGAGAGAGCCTGTTTGTGTACCTGCGTAGGGGACACTGGCCTTCCAGGCCATCCCCATTACGGTGAGCCGGGGCCTTGCAGTGGTCAACTGTCCCATGTTTGAACCCAGCCCAATGCTGCCAAGAAAGCTCCAACCCCTCCGCCTGCTATGTGTTTAGTGTCCCACCTAAATGAAAACCCTGCGCGAGTCCGTGTCTCTCTGACCCCATGCAGGTGCCCCTTCTCCTGCCACAACCTCTGCCCCCACAAACTCCTCTTCAGTGTGCGAGGTGACCTGGGCCTGATCAAGGGTACCTTCTCTAGGAAAGCAGAGATCTGTCATCTGCACGCCCTTGTCACCTGCAGGTGGAATGTGAGGAGAGAAGACACTTGCTGACTACAGAACAGACTGTGACCTCCACTCGGGCGTCCCCGGGGGACTGGCCATGCCCGTCGGAGTCTGAGCTAGTCACAGGCTACCTGTGCCCTGGGAACGTGGCCACGTGGAGCAGAGTCACCCGCAGGGTGCACCTGCAGCCGTGATTCTTTCAGTACCGTCTTGGGTGGCAAAATGAAAACCGGAAACAAATACAGGTTTATCAGCAGGAATCACTGAATAAACCCTGTGCTGTCCACACCAACGATTCATCCGGGCCTCATGAGAATGGCATCAAAACACTGATTTGGGAGCTGGGGCTGTAGCTCAGTAGAAGGGTGCTTGGCTTTCATGTGGGAGACGCTGGGTTCGATCCTCAGCACCACATCAAAAAGTACACAAATAAAATAAAGGCATGCTGTCCATCCACAACTACAAAAAAAAAAAAAG